TTACTGACTGGATTCCACGGGATGTCAAAAGACCTCATGGCCGCCCACCTACCAGATAGTCAGACTTCTTCGTCAAGATCATGAACGATCGGTTTGAGGCTCTTCATGTTCCCGGAGCAAACAGATGCCATTGGGCTACACTAGCACGCGACAGGAACAAATGGAGACGTTACTGGCGCCCGCTCAAGCAAATCGATGACTAACGGGAAGTTAAGTGATTAAGTGATTAAGGTGCCGTCCGTGCCAGCTTGAGAAGTGTATCCCTGGTAGAGGTGACTTTCCGGAGCTCGCCAACGGGCCAGGTTCCATCTGCGTTAGAGATCTCTCTCTCCGTATTCTGAGTGTAGTACTCTTTGTTAAGATCTGCTTTGGGCATGTCCTCCTTCAACGACAGCTCTGCATCACGAACCTGGGTGGGCAGGCCGTACTCCAGGTCCAACAGGCAGGATTGGCAGACATTCTTCAGTTGGCAGCAGGTCCGGCACACTTGGGTCTTCTTGACACGCATCTGAACTCCAGGACATCAGCGAAATACCGTGAATGGTCTGGTACAGATTTTGCATTCCTTCCCATACTTTTCTTTGGTCATCCGGACATACGGGTTTTTTCCAAGACACGTCTGGCACAGAATCGGGAAGTCTGTGCCCTCCCAGTTCTGCCTGTTGCATGTGTTGGAGCCCAGTGAGGTCATCTTGAGCTTGTCCAGAGATGGCAGCAGCTTCCAAGTCGGGACAGACACCACCACAATCCTGTCCTGCCTGAGGCCAGCTCCCAGCTGTGACGTTTTATTTAGAGCCCTTGCGTCTTTCCACAATAGAAAGAGAAAAGAAGCAGCAGAGGGCGCATGCAGGACTCAAGCGTTAGGTGCTGGAGAACTGTCTCCCCAGAACCGACTCCCCAGCCCGGTCAGGTGACAGATGGGTGGATAAAGGATGGGGAACGGGGGAACAGGGTCCCAGGCTTGTTGGCTATCAGTTGATTTCTCTCCCCTCCCTGCGTAGTCGGATCTCTCCCCCGCCTCACAAGTGCAATTGTAGTTTTGGTCGTAGTCCCAGTCATCATAGGTCCATCATCCTAGTCTCCTCATAGACCTCAAAGTCCTCTGGTTGGTCGTAGTTCTCCTCTTCCTAGTGATCGTCTTCTCTCTGTCTTCTACGTTCTCCAAGTCCAAAGTCAAAAAGTCTCCTCTCTCCCCCCCTTAAAACACGTTTATGTAGAAATCAGGAAGGGTGGGGCACCTAGGGTGGGGGTGAACATTAGCATAACAGAGGTAAAGCCACGCCTTCAGGGGAAGTTCTAAGAGATTAACGGACTGACAAATCTCATCTGAGGGTTCAACGGTCCAGATTCCTAGGAGATCCACTCAAGGGTGGGGTTTTATCCAGGGTGTTTTGCTTTCTCCTTTCCTCAGCTAATAATCCATTTAAACAATCATAGTCAATTTCTAATATTTCTAGTCATTTGGTACAAACACAGTAAAGTATATACTAAGCTTAAAGGTTGGCTCTTCTGAGGTCATCTCTCTGTCAATCCCAGACTACAGTCCTCAGGTCAGGTTAGTCTATTTTTTTCGTAGTCATTGTTTTATTTATTTATTTAAGTTATTTTTTAATTGAATCTCCGTGAGACACAATTACCTCTCTCTCTCTCTCCACCCCCTTCTCTCCCCCCACTTTTGGGCATTATGGTTTGCAATGCAGATACTGAAAGACCATCATGTTTGGTCTTTTACCCACTTTCTTTTTTTTTTTTTTGCCTATTTTTTTTTAAAGGCCCTCCCGTTGATCGTCGATTTGCTCGAGCGGGCCCAGTAACGTCTCCATTGGAGACTTTGTTGTTACTGTGTCTGGCATATCGAATACTCTCGGTAGCTTGCCGGGCTCTCCAAGAGGGGCGGAGGAATCGAACTCGGGTCGGCCATGTTGGCCGCTTGTAAGGCGAACGCCCTACCCGCTGTGCTATCGCTCCAGCCCGGACAAACCGACCATATCCAAAGTCTTTAACAGACAAACAGAAGGAGCCACTTAAAGCATGAGATATTGAGATCCAAGACAGACACTGGGGGGGCAGGATATACTTAAACCATCGAAAGCTTCTACCCAAGTCTGCTCCATCAACAGCTGAGCTCTGCCAAGGGCATGGGGGTGGCTTAGGGTAAGCGCAGATCTGCAAATCAAAGGAGGACATCTGTGTTACAAGCACACGCGCATCTCAGAATGCGCTAGAAAAGGAAGTATTCACGCAGAAGGGGAGAGGGGGGACAATGGAGGCTCCTCCTAGGCATTAGGCTGCCTTGCAGAGGGCTACAGCAGAAAAGCGGACTTCCCCTTGCTCCCGCTCAGTGAATTCTCAGCACACCTTGGCAGCATCCCGCAGTAGTGAGTCTGCCGAGCTGGATCCATGGTTCACAGGGAAGGGCATCCGGCCATCAAGTTCATAGAGGTGGCTGTCCACATTGTTAAACAGAATGAAATGAAAATTCACTTTATCATCTACCCGACACTGGCCCTCCTGGGCCACGGCGTCGTGGGCTGCCTGGATAGCCTCGTTCTTCTCAAAGCATTTGACTCAGTCTTCAGGGGACAACTTCTCCGTTTCAGAAAGGAACTGTTTCAGGATGGACCCATCATTGAACTCCAGCTTGTCTTGGTTATTGGCCACAGCATGGATCAGCCTGATGGTCCCACAGGAGTTGCCGATGGTCTGCTTCATGAAGTATACTTTGGGGCTTACTGCTTGTCCCTTCAGCTCTTCAATCTGCTTTTTCCAGTCTTCTGCCCCCGCGCCTGGCTGTTCCTCGCCGGGGCCCCTTGGAGGGGAGCGGGTTGAGCTTTTCTCCCCGCCCCGACCAGGACTCCGGCAGCCGAAGACCTCCAAGACCAGCCAACACCATGCTGAGACCACTCTCCGCACACATGAAGGTTACTGGCAGAGGGACAAAGCCACGTGGGTTCCGGGGCCGAGATCTCCAAGCCTACTTGGATTGGAGTCGAGCATCCTCCACCCAGATCCTCCAAATTCCAGTAGGCGGGGGTCACACCCACCACCTGGCCCCCTGGTGCCGTGTAATCCCATCAACGGCCAAGACTCAGAGACTATAAAATCCAGCTCCCGGACGAGAACAGTGCAGTCTTCTGCCCCCACGCCTGGCTGTTCCTCGCCGGGGCCCCTTGGAGGGGAGCGGGTTGAGCTTTCCTCCCCGCCCCGACCAGGGCTCCGGCAGCCGAAGACCTCCAGGACCAGCCACCACCATGCTGAGACCACTCTCCGCACACATGAAGGTACTGGCAGAGGGACAAATCCACGCAGGTTCCAGGGCCGAGATCTCCCAGCCTACTCGGATTGGAGTCAAGCATTCTCCACCCAGATCCTCCAAATTCCAGTAGGCAGGGGTCACACCCACCACCTGGCCCCCTGGCGCCGTGTAATCCCATCAGCGGCCAAGACTCAGAGACTATAAAATCCAGTGACATCTTATCAGGACATCTTTTTATGACATCTTATTATCTCATTCCTACTTCGGACAAACTTGCAGGCTATCGAATGTAGCCTTCCCACAGGGCAGAGTCTGGCAAACTCCCCGTGGCGTACCAAATATGCCAAATACCAGTAACAATGATGGGTCTCATTCTCCTACAGAGCCTTGAATATAATCTCAGGGCTAGGATGAAGGAGACGTTACTGGGGCCTGCTCGAGGCAATCGACGAATAACAGGATGATGAAATGAAATGAATGAAATTTTTTTTTAAATAGAGTCTCGTGCCCCCGCACCTGGCTATCTTCACCAGGGCCCCTTGGAGGGGGGAGGGTTGAGTTTCTCTGCCCCCTCACCCCGCCCCGAGCAGAGCCCCAGCAGCTGAGGACCTCCGGAGCCAGCCATGGCCATTCTGGGACCACTCTCCACATGTCCGGATGGGCCTCATGCATGAAAGAACTGGCAAAGGAACCCAGGCATGCGGGATCCGGAGCTGAGGTCTCCAAGCCTACTCGGATTGGGACTGTGCCTTCTCCACCCAGACCCCCCATCTTCCAGTAGGTAGGTGTCACACCCACCAGCTGCCGCCAGCACCAGGTTGGTCCCATCAACGGCCAAGATGCAGAGACTATAAAACCCAGCTCCTGGAAGCGCGCGGCTGCATTTGCAGCCTCGTGACATCTTATTATCTTATTTTTCCTTTGGACAGCCTGGCAGGCTACCAAAAGTATCCTGCCCGCATGGCAGAGTCTGCAAACTTCCCGTGTCGTACTCAATATGCCAAATACCAGTAACAATGATGGGTCTCATTCTCCTAATCCTGAAAGAGCATTGAAATGGCTCTTTTAAAATCTGAGGGCTAGGAAGAAGGAGACGTTACTGGTGCCTGCTCGAGGAAATCAACGAACAACAGGATAATCGTGATCGTGATTTTTTAAAAATTTTATTTTATTGAACCACCATGGGCTGGAGCGATAGCACAGCGGGTAGGGCATTTACCTTGCACGCAGACAACATGACCGACCCAAGTTCGATTCCTCCGCCCCTCTCGGAGAGCCCGGCAAGCTACCGAGAGTATCTCGCCCCCACGGCAAAGCCTGGCAAGCTCCCCGTGACGTATTTGATATGCCAAACACAGTAGCAATTGTCACAATGGAGATGTTACTGGGCCCGCTCCAGCAAATCGATGAACAATGGGAAGACAGTGACAGTGACAGTGAATCACCAAGAGACACAGATACAAGCTTTCATGTTTGAGTGACAATCATACACTGTTCAAACACCCATCCCTCCACCAGGGCACATTCCACACCTCTAGTCTCCCCAGTATACCCCCTTTCCCACTCCCACTGCCTCCATGGCAGGCAATTTCCCACATACTCTATCCACTTTTGGGCATTATGGTTGGCAACAGATACTGAGAGGCCACGGTAGCCTTAACCCCAGTGAAGGGGCTTATTTCTACAGATGGCACAGAACTGCCAATGCCTCCCCCAGTGAGGCGGGTCTCTGCAGTAGAAGCACTGGGGGTGGCGGGGAATAGCCAGCCAGATCCTAAGTGCGGGGAGGAGGGGGTTCAGCCCGAGCAGCCCCGGCACCCGCAGTGTGCACACTCAATGATCCGGCCCATTTCCAGCTTGCTTTTGGGGACCCGGCAGATGCAGTTGGTTCCGGAGTTGGTGTCGCGGGTCTGGATGCAGTGCAGGCAGCACAAGCCCTCGTAGCCCTGCCTCTTCCACTTGGCGATGAGGCTCTTGTCCGCGTAGCCTTCCGCAACGCAGTATTTGTACAGCTCTCGGCTGATGGCTTTCCGCTTGTAGAAGAGGTCGAAAATGTAGCGGGTTTTCTGGTGGTGGATCCTGAAGATGGGCCAGAGGGATTCCACCTTCCTCTTTCCCTCGTGAGGTTCTGTTGCGGCTTCTCTCATCTTTTGATCTAATCCATCCAAAGTTGGTTCAATCAGCTCCCAGCCATCTGGGGGAGCTTTTCGGCTTCTTTTGACTTTGGGCATTTTCCTCCTACCAAAGAACTTGCAAGACCTTAGGATCCGAGTCTAGGAGACAGCAGGAAGCTCCCGGGCCTCCTCTTGAGCGTGTCCAGAGGCAGCGGCAGCTTCCGAGTCAGGACAGACACCACCACAACCCTGTCCGGCCCGTGGCCAGCTCCCAGCTGCGAAGTCTTATTTAGAGCTTTTGCGTCTTTCCACAACAGAAAGAGGAAAGAAGCAGCAGAGGACGCATGCAGGACTCAAGCGTTCGGTGCTGGAGAACCGCCTCCCCAGCAGGTCAGGCGACAGCCAGGTAGATGAAGGATGGGAAACAGGGGAACAGGGTCCCAGGCTTGTCGGCTGTTGGCTGATTTTTCTCTCCTTCCCAGCGTAGTCTGGTCTCCCCCCTCACGGTGCAGTTGTACCTTTGGTCGCAGTCCCAGTCATCACAGGTCCATCATCCTAGTCTCCTCATAGACCTCAAAGTCCTCTGGTTGGTCGTAGTTCTCCTCTTCCTAGTGATCGTCTTCTCTCTGTCTTCTACGTTCTCCAAGTCCAAAGTCAAAAAGTCTCCTCTTTCTCCCCTTAAAACACGTTTATGTAGAAATCAGGAAGGATGGGGCTGAACATTAGCATAACAGAGGTAAAGCCATGCCTTCAGGGGAAGGTCTAGGAGATTAACTCCAAGACAAAATCTCATCTGAGGCATCGGCTTTTCAGATTCCTAGGAGATCCACTCAAGGGTGGGGTTTTATCCAGGGTGTTTTGCTTTCTCCTTTCCTCAGCTAATAATCCATTTAAACAATCGGTCAATTTCTAATATTTCTAGTCATTTTGTACGAACACAGTAAGGTAAGCTATACTTAGTTTAAAGGTCAGCTCTTCTGGGGTCATCTCTCTGTCAATCCCAGACTAAAGTCCTCAGGCCAGGTCAGTCTTAATTCCAGCAGGATCTTTATTCAGTTACTTCTTTTTGGGTCAAGCAGAGTTTGCTCCGTGACCGTTCTCTTAACTTATTAGACTTATGGTGCTTAGCTTGTCCCTTTCTGATGCCAGGGGAGCTTACTGCTAGCCCTGGGTCCATCCAGTCCCTTCCTTGGGACCCTCCTTTGGGAGTGCTAGGAACTAAGGCAACTGAAGCTTAAGTCAAGGAAATATGGATGCCCAGGAGTAAATATTACTTGGAGTCAACTCCCATGTTACAAAAGCATAACATGAATTATCTTTCTGTGTCTAAGCATCAAGCTCTAAGTTACTTTGAGCATCAAACCATTAAAATAACCACTGGCACCTGGGAAGGAGTTAAGTAAGAACTGAATGTTTGCAATCCAAAAAAAGGGAAGGTGTGCTCTGGCGTCCGCCTCATAAGAAGTCGGGTTTTGTGGTTTTTGTTTTGTTTTGCATCTGATCCTAGTCACACAGAAAGTGTCAAGAGAAAAGGCTTCGCCTGGTAGACCAGGTGTGTGAACTGCGTGGCGTGCATTCAGCCTGGGATCGTGGCCTAATGGAGATGGCGCCTTCCCGTTTCATATCCAGGCTTCTCCTGTGCCTGAGACTACAACCCTCTGGGGGAAAAGCACTAGAAACCAGAAGGTCACAGCATTGTAGCAGATCTGACTTTATAGATTCCCCTGGTGGGTAAGAGAAGCCTGCCGACAGCCCGGGGTCTTGAATGTTCTATCCCTCTTACAGGCCATGTAGGCCGCAACCCCCAAGCCCTCGTATAACGTGATCTGGTTGATAGGCTGCATGCAATTGAGCTCTGCCTTAGGTGAACGAAGGTGGAATCGACTGATCAAGTTGTATTTGCCCCCATGAAAAGGGATTTCAAGGAGGACCAGTCACAGCCAGAACTCTCGGCTCTAATTCTGTGCCCTCTAGTGCAAGTATTGATTTTTACATCAGGACCCACATATTACTGATTCTTGTATGAGGACCTACATGCACTCTGGGATTCAGAGTTGCATCTGCTGAAAGCAGAGAATTTGTTTCCTTACGGCTCTTGAATTTGGTTCATTGTGTTGAGTATTCATGCTTAGAAAGTCTATGATGACTACAGTATATGACAAAGTTTCCCCTGAGTGTAGTCTTCATGTTTCAGCAAAAAATAAATTCCACAGAAATGGGGGGAAAATAAGAGAACCAGTCAGATGGTACATTATTAACTAAGGGACCAATCAGAAGTCCCGATCCTCCAGACCTTTATTTCCTCTGCAACATCATGGCAGGACAGTGCCCCACCCTTCCCCAATCCTTATTAAATGATCCTGGACCCCAATAGGTTTGTTAGCAATATCAGGAGTTCAATAAAAGGCCTCAGGGCAGATGTCTGGGCCTAATGGAGTCTGTGCAGAAACTTCAAAGCACCCAAAGTAAAAGGAGCAGCCAGGACAAAGGTTCTGAGGCAGGAACAAGTCTGAGATGACAGGAAGAGCTATGGAGTCCAGGCAGGCTGGGTGAGCCCCAATTCTGGATGATTTTGATGGACTTTGGCGACCCCAGTTTTGGCAACAGCTAGTTAACCCGCATCCTTGAAGTCTTTGGGGGACGTTCTATTAAGGAGTTCTAATGTAGCTACGTTTCATTTTTTGTAATTTTTTAAATCCAGAGCGCTCCCTCCAGACATAATTGTTATAGTGGTCCCTTCTCTATCCAATTGCCTTCCCCCAGCACCTGAGGCAGGCTTCCAACAGTGGCCTATCCTGCTGTCCTTCGGTGTCCTTAGTCCCATACTATGTTTTATCTCTAGCTGTGTTTTAGAGCGCTGGAGAGGTGAGTGGAACTCTTATGGGAAAACATGCACCTCTGTGTACACTCACAGGTGTGTCCACACAGGAAGCCTATGAATACGAAAAATGCAGGAAAAGCTTCATGAGATCCTCAGACTTGATACAGCCCTACAAGGACCAGAGAAACCACAGAAATATAACGTCAATGTATTTAATATGCAAGGTCTAGTAATAGTGAGGGATGTGCCTCTTCTGTCCTCACCCTGTGGGCACCTGTCGTTTGACCCATAGGATGATAAACATTGGGACTGAAGGGAGTACAGCATGTAGGGTGTTTGCCTTGCATGCTGCCGACCTAGTTTTGATTCCTGGTAGCCCATATGGCTACGTCCCAACCCCCTCCCCCTCCCATAAAAGAAAAACCCTCAGTGCAAGGAAATATGGTCAGTTTCCATTTCAGTATCATCCATTCTTAAATCTTACCTGTCCAGAGTTCATCCTGGAAAGGAAAGTGTAAATCCCTCAGTAGCTAAAGGACATCACCAGATCTTGCTGAAAAGTCTACAAATGATTACGATGTGGGAAAACATTTAGATTTTCCTTTCAGATTGGCATTTATAGCCAGTCTATATATATATATATATATATATATATATATATAATGTGTATATATAAACACACATATATATGTATACATTTACAATGGATGTAGAAAGCTTTATGGAAAAACCATATGGGTGAAAGTAAAATTGTAGGGCCAGAGAGATAGTACAGTGGGTTTAGCACTTGCCTTCCATTGCAACTAACCTAGGTTCTATCTCTGGCATCTCATATGGTCCCCTAGTACTGCCAAGAGTGATTCCTGAGTTCAGAGCTAGGAGTAAGCCCTGAGCAATGCCCAATGTGACCCATAAAATTAAAAAAAAACATAACTGTAAGATATGTGGGAAAAATTTTACCCTCCTGTGATCTGTAAGCAGAAATGACATGTAAATTTTCCATAGATGTCCCTCCTGTTTGCTCGAGCAGGCCCAGTAACGTCTCCATTGGAGACTTTGTTGTTACTGTGTCTGGCATATCGAATACTCTCGGTAGCTTGCCGGGCTCTCCGAGAGGGGCGGAGGAATCGAACTCGGGTCGGCCATGTTGGCCGCTTGTAAGGCGAATGCCCTACCCGCTGTGCTCCTGTTGATTGGGTATAATAGAGGAACATTGGATACCTGCCACACTGTTAACAGTATTGTAAATCAGAGTACCTAAAAAGAGAAAACTTGTTTCAATGTGTTGTCCTGACTGGGGGTGGTCTCTTTCCCCTCCATCCTTAACTACTAAAATCCAAAGCACAGAGGCATGGTGCAACACCTACGTCTGAAGAAGAGGGATCTTGGTAGGGAAGGTCTTGGACTCTATTAAAATGGACTGTCTAGAAGTTGCTACATTGTTCCTACACCAGATGTTCTGTAACGGTCAGGTACTGAGTGAAAAGAGGTCCTGAACTCCTAAGTGGAAGGGGGTGTGTTTGCACCCTTAAAGACGTGCATGGGGTGTCTTCATCTCTCTTTGCAAATGTATATGCACAAACTGAAGGCAAGTAGGTGATGGTGTTTAGCTGGTAGCAGAGGGCAAGGACGGGTGGAGAAAGGGAACTCTCCTTGGCCCTGAAGTTTAGAGTCTTAGTGTTTAAACTTTTTAAACAGTGATTGACACAGTTGCTCACCTGCAGGTGTTTCAAAGTGAGCTTCCGTGGTGTTGTTCCGTGGAGTCACCAGCTCTACCTCTGACGTCTGACTAGGTTAGAAAAGTCAGCTTTTACGTCATGGACTTGGGTCAGGTTTTTAAGTTCTTGACTGGTTGCACTTCTTCTGTTTGTGGTCATTGCTATTCTTTAATAAACCCCGAGCATCGTTGCAATCGCGGTTATGAATAGCCCATGGCATTAGTTGAACACATCTTATGCCTCTGTTTTTGCCTTTTGCATGATTCATAAATAAGGTGACACCTGCTGGCTAGAAAGCTGAAGCATGAAAGTATTTTAAAATCCTTTAAAAGCTAACATTCATGATTCTTATCTGTGAGCAATGACATTGGGGGAAGGGGGCAGGGTCTCCCAGTGGTTCTAGGGAGGCTGAGAACTGTGCCAGGTATGTAGTCTTTTGGCTTATCTTTCCTGGTCCAAAAATTATAATTTTGAACAAAGAGCATGACAAACGTATCCTTCCTGATAAAGGACAGGAATTCTGTCTAGAGGCTCCCATCCAGATGGCCAAAGACTGATGGGTGAACACTGACTCCAAGATGACACGTCACGGTCACGGTCTTCCC